GAAATGTTCTGTTCAAATGATCTCACCAAATGAACAATTTGAATCTGTGTTAGAAGAAGCAAAAAAATTATCAAAGTTTGTTAAGAATAAATGAAAGATTTAAAATAAAAAAAAAGAGTAATACTTAAATTAAAACTTAGAAAATTTGAAGAATTAATTGAAGGTATTAATGGTTTTAAAAAGAATGAATATTCAGACTTATTGAATATTTTAAATGATAAAAGACATCGTCTCAATGAAATGAAAAAAGTTAAACCAAGTAGTCAACATGGATATTTATCCTTAAATGATATAGAACCTAAAATTTCAAAAACTAAACAAAACTCTCATCACCATCACAAACAAAGAAAAGAAAGTGCTCCATTTATTGATATTAAACCAATTCAACAAAATGAACACCAACAAAAACAATCATCACAAGAATCAATGAATATTTATTCTATTCCTGATCCAAAAACCCCTCGAGAAACATCATCTCACTTTGTCCCAGTACCAACAAGTAAAGATAATGTTCCAATGTATTGTGTCGAAACTGAAATAAAAGAACCTCATCTTCATAAAATACAATTGGCTGCACCTCCAAGAAAAAGAGCTATGAGTGCAAGTGCCCAAGCATTACCGTATTTAGGATCAAGAAACCAAAACGTTTCATTACTTTAAAAAATTAATTAATTACATTACCTGTGAAGTAATTTCTCTATATTTATTTGATAAATCTAAGACAAATTCTTTTTATATTATTTTGAAAAATAGATTAAATTGTATTTTCTCAAATATTTTTTTAAAGAAATCATAAATATTCCCCCCAGTTAAATATATTACTTCTTTTTTTCTTTTATGTCTTTCTTGAAAAAAGTATAACAATACAAGACAGTCAATTACATTAAAAGGTTTTAATAATATTATCTAAAAAAGAATTAAATTAACTTTTGATGTTTCCCCCTTGAAGAACCGACGAAATTAAATTGAAAAGATGTTGTTTTGAAGTAAAACCAAAAAATAAAACTTCCAAAATGTTCGGTTTTTGAATATATTTTTATTTTCTACGAAGAAATAATTCAATTGAGACTGCCGACTCTTTCCAAATTGTTCTTGATTAATATGAAATTTCCTTTGTAATGGTAGCACTGAAAATCTTAAACAGAATGAGCACTTTTAAAACCCACCGTGATTATCAAGTGTGCGTTCAATGTACACTTATTGCTTTATTGAATGAACAATACTCGTTTCTTATTCAACGCCCAGTTAAAAAAGGTAATCTTTCTCTACAATTAATTAACATCAGAAGAATAGAACTTAACAAAGACTGGATTGATGTTGAAGCTTTTGTAAATAAAAGATGCCAAGATCGAATTACTTTTGATATTTCAATTGGAATTCCTTCAGAAACAGCAAAACAAAGAGTTTCTAAGAATAAAATCTTTGAACAAATACATTTACTCATAGATCTATCCTTTGTTATGGGATATTCATTTCGTTCTTCATTCACTAATGGAAATAACCATTCAATGATATATGAAACTGTAGTAGAAATATATCATAACAATATATTAATACTTTCAACTCAAGAAATTGAGTCAGTTGGAAATAAAATAAATGCCTTAATCTATGGTCGTTTGAGTAAACAACATTCAATAACTTTAGAACAAAAAGACACACAAATAATTTCTTTGTTACAAACTCAATTTAATCGTTTCTGAGGTAAATCTAGAAAAACAGAAAAAACATTTCATCATTCAAATTTTTGTTATTTATTTTTTCATTTTTAAGAATTTATGATTTTCGAAAGAATCGTTACAAACTTCTTTTTTTTTCTATTTTTTCTTTTTTATTAAAATGATTGGAAAATTAGGAAAAAATACTTGATTTAAAAGGAAGAACTAAGGAAAATACTTTAGTCCAAAAGTCCGTTAGTGTCGCCATCATCTAATAGTTCTACATTTTTTGATGTCGAAGGCAGTACCCTACAATCCATTCAATGTTCATACTAAAAACTTTAGTGGAAAGAGATTATCACCTCGTGAATCTTCTAAAAAAGAAGTTAAACCTAAGTCTCCATTTAAAAAAGAAATAAATTGGACTTTACTTGAAAAACTTGATTTAAAAGAATTTGACAAAGAGGTTGAAAGAATAAAATCTCGGAATGAGTTACGTTCAAATGATGAACTTCAAATTAAAAAATTAAGAAGAAAAATACAAAATAGATGGTCTTCTAAGTGTAGTAGGGAAAAAAAGAAAGATAAATTTATAGAAATTCAACAAGAACTTATTAAATATAAACAAAAATGTATTTCTCTTGAACAAGAAAATAAACGTCTTAAATTACTTATAGAAAAATCCTCTTCATTTTCAGAACCATTACTTTCAAATAAGAACAAGTTTAATTCTCAATAGTTGTTTATATTTTTTATGAACTTCATTTTTATTAATAATTTTTTTTCAATAAAAAATATCTTATATGTATGTAACTTAACAACCAAATCTAAGAAAGGAAGATGAGTTGGATTCTTTAGTTGTAAAATTTTTTATGTTTTATTTAAAGAGATAGGGGTTTTGATTACTGATGAATATTTGTTTATAATTAGAATTATGTCATTTTTCCTTTTTAGCTTTTCTGGGTAATGGTAAATGACATTTTTTTGTTTTATTAAAATTATTTTTATTTCCTTGTCTTATGGTATGATAATGAAGTTTTATAAAGACAAAAAACAATTAATTAAATGTTAATAGAATGAATTTCTATTGTTTCTGGATCAATTGAGAAAAATCAATTGTATGAAATATTATCAAGTAATTTTATGGAGTATGTTTGTTGTTATAGACTCAATATTCTATGTTTTTCATAATGTTTTTTTAATAATAACGTTTCTGTCTTCTTTTACATTGTAATTTTCTATTTTTACTTCTTTATTTAATCTATTATTCTCTGAATTTATTATTCAATTATTTTGACACGTCTTAATTTCTCTATTTTTTTTATTCTTTATTTCTTTATATTTATTTCTTTTATTGAATTTATATTGTGCCAATGAGTATTTCCAGTTATTAATTTTCATTATACTTAAATTTAATTCATTTATTGTTATAATGACACTATCATAATTGATATATCTTTCATTCCACGAGGTGATTTGTTTTATTTTCCATTTCTCTTTATTTAATATCACCTGTGTTTCATATAATGATTTCCAATATTCTAAAGTAATATCGTTATTTGGGTATATTTCATTCTTTGGGTCTTTCTTCCTTATTCTAATTTTCTTGTTAGAATCAAACATGATTTTATTTGTATTGATTCTGATTATTTCATTTTTATTAAATTTAATTCTTTCTTTTATCATTGTCATCATATATTTTATGTATTTTATTCTTTCTAGTGCTTTAACTTTAATTCATTCTTCATCATATTCTTTTAATTTCATGATGCACTTTATTCTCTACAATTTTCTTCCCTTGACCAAATCTTCTAGTCTATTTATTTTCTTTAGGATTTCTTTTATTTCATCAAATTTATCTCCTATTATTTTATTTTGGAGATAGAGATGCATATAAATTGAAATATTCATATCATCTTGCAGATAATCCATTCTGCTTCTTGATATTATCCAATCTATTATTAATTTCCATTATTAATTCGTCAGCTTCTTTTCTTTTCCAGTAGTAATTAATATTTGTACATTTTTCTATTTTCATTTCTTTCACTTTATTGATGAGAGTGTTAAGGTATTCTTCATCAATTTCAGTAGAGTTATTCTTTAATATGATGTTTTTTATTATTGAATCACACTCTACTCTTCTTTCTATTATATTATTTACTTTCATTTTAATGTACAGTTTAATACTTTCTTTTATTTTATGTGATATTTTAATATAATTAATATATTCTTTTTCATTATTGACATTGATGTTTATTACTTTTATTATACTTTCTATTTGTTCCCATCTTAATTTCTTATATAATTTCTTATATAATTTCTTATTCAACCAATTAATTGCAAAACAATACAACACTTCAATTAAATTTCTTTTTCTTTCTTTTGTATTATTTCTTATCTGATTATTTTCATTATATTTTTTGATATTCGGTGTTATTTATTATTATTTCACTTTTACGTCTTCAATTTTTGGGTTTGTTTTTAATTTCTTTCTTCAATTGTTTAAATATCTTTTTCTTTACCTTCTTACTTCTTGAGTATTTCTGAATATTCTTCTTTCTCCATTTTATTTCTTATTCTTTCTATTTTCATTTCTTGTTAACGATTTATATTTGTTATTTGTATAGTCATCATCACTATATTTACCTTGTTTCTTATTTGTTTTTCTTTGTACCTTTCTCTTTCTAATCCATTTTTTCCCTAGTATTTCTTTTACCATTCATAATATTATTAATCACATTCTTGTTATCAACATTCATTCTTTTATATGACATTGAATTTCTATGTCTTGTTTGTTTTCTTTACAAGACGCAAAGGTTTTACGCAATAACCATTGCATTAAAATTTGTTATTTTCTTCATTGGAAAACGGTCTATTTTTATATCAAATAAAAAAAATGACAATGAATAATAAAAAGAAATGATTTTAGTTCATAGAAAAAAAAACACAAAAGAAGGAATATAAAAAACATTTCATTCATTATTTCAAGAATCTTTTAAATTCGTAATTTGTAGTTTTTTTCTATTAATAAAACTATAGTGAATAGTTGAGTTAGTTCAAGATAATTTTATCCACAAAAATAAAACAGAACTTAGAAGTAGAATAAATAGAGCAAAATGAAAAGTCAATTAGGCTATGGGATTAATGCAAGTAAAAAGCACCTAACAGATGGAAAGTTTTTAAAGTACATTTCTGGGTACTTAAAACAAAATGTTTGCTTTTATTATCTTTCTTTCTCTCTAATTCATTCAAATAACTTATATTCACTAGAAAATAAGTCCTATAAATGTCAAAACAATTATTGTATCTAACAATTTATTAACACTTACACCTCCAATTCAAATTATGACTTCATTAAATACTTTGGATCTTTCTGATAATAAGATTGATACCTTGACAAATGAATTTACTCAATTAAATTCGTTGACATCATTAAATCTTAGTCATAATAAACTCATTGACTTTTCACTGTTATGCAATATGACAAATTTAAAAGTATTAAATCTTTCTCACAACAGAATTGAGTCATTACCTCTTGACAAATTCACTAACCTTTCTGGAATAAGTTTGTTTATATTTGTTTTATTTTTATAATTTCATATAAATTAATATTACTCATTAAATAGGTGAATTAGACTTAGGGTGGAATGAATTGACAGAATTCGATTATGAGTGGATGATTCCATTAAAATCAATTCATTCATTTTCTGTTATTGCTAACAAAATTACTGTTGTGAAAAATGATAATGGAGTATTTTCAAAAGACTTTGGTACTCCATATGCTCAACTCACGCCAAACTGTATATTACCTCATTTATTTCTTGGTTCTGTTGAATCTACAACTAAACCATTCTTAAGAGAATATCATATTGAAGGTGTACTTTCTATTGGAACTAAACCATTATATACAAGTAAGAAAGTTGAGTATTTGTTTATTCAATGTGGAGATAGTATTTCGGATGATATTTCATCTCATTTTAATGAATCATTTGAATTTATTGATCGATTTGTTACAGCGGAAAAAAATGTATTAGTTCATTGTGTTGCTGGAGTTAGTAGATCAGCATCATTAGTCATTGCATATGTAATGAAAAAAGAAAAAATACCTTATGAAGCTGCTCTTGCAAAAGTAAAAGCACATCGTTTTTGTGTATGTCCAAATCCTGCTTTTGCTCAACAACTTCAAAAATACAAACCACATTAATTTATTGTATTGTTACATCTATCTCCCTTGTCATATTTTCTTAAAAGATAAAATCTTAAAATTTTTATAAAAAAATCTTTGAAAATTAATTATTATTTCGTTTATGAATAATCAACAAATTCATCTCACATTTAAAAATGATTTAAAAGAAGATGAAATTATTCTTGCACAATTTGAACAGACAAAATTTGAATCACTTCCTCGTCCTATAAAACTTATTAAAGATGTTCTTACCCCTGAAGCACCAAATAAAAAAGATGAACAAAAAAGACAGTATTATAAAAAGGCTATTGCTGATGCTCCTTTTATTCTTTCTGCAGGTGAACAACCACTTCTTGCACCCAAATTAGATCCAATAACAAACCAAATGATTTCAACTAAACCGATTATTACTTTAGGAAGTAGAAAAATCAAAGAAGAAGAAAAGTTTGCATTAATTCAAATACAAGATGATGGAAATGCTACAATAAATATTTTAGATGAAAATTGGATTTTTAGTAGAAAGGCTGATATGGAAAAACCACTTTTTTCAAATGCTGTAGAAGAAGTTGATGGTTCTGATGATACTAGAGTTAAAAAAAAGGAATATCAAAGTGAAGAAGAACGTTACTCTAATTTTAGTGATAATTATGGTGATGATGAAGATGACTTTAATGAAAAGAATGATAAAACTGCTTCTGATGACAGTGATGATGAAGAAAAGAAAGAGGCAAAATCACGTAAAAGATTATCTTCATCATCTCAACCAGCACCGAGAAAAGAGTTAATGAATTTAATTATTGAAAAAATGAAGGCAAGTGGAGATGAAATGTTTCTTGATGACTTAAATAAATCATTAAATCCTGATGGCAATGAAGAGTTATCAAAGAAATTAACTGATTTATATGCTCGTGTTTTAACTGTATCAAAACAAACAACAGAATCTCCTTTAATTGTAACACTAAAGAAAGAACACTCTTCTAAAAAACCAAAAAAAAGAACCGATAAAAAGAGTGAAAAGAAACCAGAGTCAAGTAAGTAATGAAAGAAGTAAACTTTTTATTATCAACAAACCAAAAAATTCATGTTATTGTTTTATTTAAAAAGGATTAAGTCTGATGATCATTAAGAATAATTGAGATTTTTAAAAAAAACTAATTTTAAATAAAGAGTGATTTTCCTTGTAATAATCCTGCGTAAATTTTTCTATTATTAATTATTTTTTATGTTTATTATTTTATTATTGTTTTTCGTAATACTATTTTCTTCATTTCATCTTCTTTATTCATAATAAAATATAACTTTGTTTATTAAAAACTTTCTTTAATGTATTCTTCTGTTTATTGGTATTGTTTTTTTCAAATAATTTTTTCAATTTTCTCTTTATTGAGTAATAAACATTACTTTAAGTTATTCAACCCTTTGTTTTAATTATTTAGTTTGAACAACTTTATCTACCAACTATATATTTCTTAAATTAACAGAATAACTCATTTTAAACAACGTAATAAACAGCAAATATATTTAAAAAATATAATAATTGATTAAAAAATTAAAAACAATATTAAGGAAAAAAGCATAATCATTTTATTAATAGAATTATAAATATAAATACTATAGTTCATTTTCAACTAAACTTCTTTATAATAAAAGGAAAAGCACTTACTCTAAGAATAATTAGTACAGTCCAGGTATAGTAGTTAATCAATGTTGTTATGAGAATAATCAATAGTAAATTAAGAAAAATAACAGAAAATATAGAGTAATACATGAGTGAAATAATATGATATTAAAAATTGAGTGTGTGTTAGAAATAATAAGAACAACACTAGGAATATGCATTGAAAGATATAAATGAAATTGAATAAAGAATTGAAATTGACAAGACTATATAAGGCATGTGATAAGAAATTAATAAGAGTGAATATTTCAAAAATAATATAATATGTATATATAAGATAAAATAAAGAGGTGCAACAATTGACATGACAAGAGTAAATGATAAAAAGATGGTTGTAAAATTTATTAATAAAGTAAAAATGTATAAAATTGGTTAAGATAATATAAAACAAATTAATAGACTAAAAGAAGTGAAACTAATTGAAATAAAAATGATAATAAATAGAATAAAGAATAAAGAATTAGTAAGAATACTCAATGAACAATATATCACCAAATAATTTAAATTAAAAAATAAAAGATATAATAAATATTGAAAATGAGATATCTAATGACATAGTGTGGAGAAGATGGAGGATAATATAGAAAAACACATAAAAATATATTTAGCAATAAGGAAAATAAAGAAAATGAAAGATAAAATATCAAATAATTAAATTAAAAAAAACATATACTTATTAATTATTAATTTTAACCACTGCTTTAGTCTTTATTTTGTTATGTTATTTCTTTAAATACTTTCAAACTCTTTTAATTTGAATTAATAACGACTAATCGATGTTTTTATTATTTGTTCATTAGATTTTCATTTAAATAATAATTATTATAAATGCATTGGTGTGAATTGTTTTTAATAGTTCTTTATCAGGTGTTGTAACTATGTCAGTACTTTCTTTTATGAAAGAGATTATTCCAATATGAATTTCAAAAAAGTTTCATGAAGTTGATTACTTTCACTAAAAAAAAAGAAAACTCAAATAAGCAAAACAAAGAAACTAGGATGAGTGGAGGAAAAGAACAAGAAATGACTGAAAGAAAAGAGGATAAAAGCACAGAAAAAGGAAATGATCCAGAGACAGAAATGAAGGAATATGAAAAAGTCTTTGATTCTATAGTCAAAGATAATGAAAGACAAAGAAAACAAAGAACATTTAGATGTCAAAGTATGATTGTTTCACAACAAGAAATTGATTCAATAAATCAACAGATTGATAGAGAACTTGCAAAAGAATTTTTACAAGAAATAAATGAACCATTAAAATCATTAAAAGGAAAGCCACAAGGAAGAAATGAACTAAAATTTAATATTGAAACACAAATTAAAAAATTAACACAAAAACGAGTTAATTTAATGAAAGAAGTTCATAGCATTGATTGTGAATTAGAAAGGTTAAAAAGATCTTTAGAATTATTACAATCACCAATTAAAGATAAAAAACCAAAGAAAAAAGAAAAGAGAACTAAAAAAGAAGAAGACAATGGAGATCAAAAAGGTAGTAAAATATCACACAAAACTAACATATCTACTCATCCACTTTTTGAAGTTGATTCTACTACAAATCGTTTAAAATTAGAAAAACAGCAATTTGAAAATGAAAGAGAGGTTATAATAAATGAAAGAGAAAGACTAGATAAGGAACTTCGGTTATTAGAAGATGAGTTAAAAATAAAACAAGATGAATTTGAAAAAACATTAAAAGAAGCAACTGACAGATACACTGAACAAGGAAAAAAGAAGAAAAAAGAAAAGAAAAAGAAAAAAATTGAAGAAGAAAGAAAGAAAGTTGATTTACGTCTTTCTCAAATAGAGAATGAAATAATTGAAAGACAAAAATTACTTGAAGAACGATTAAAAGTATTACAACATAAACAAGATAAAAAAGAAAGAAAATTTGTTGGAAAGTCTTTAGACATGCGAGGAATTGTTAATTGATTTGTTTTTTGAGAAGAATATTGTTAACAAAAAAAAAATAAAGAAGAAATGCCAAATATTATAAATTGTCATTTTATAAGTTTTCATCTTTCTATTTTCAATTTATTTAATGAAATTGATCAAATTGTTTATTATTTATTCAAATATTGTTCAATTTGATATTAATTATGAATTTAAAAAATAAATTATTTTTCTTATTTATTCCAAAAGAATTATATTCTTCCATACAAAAAATCTATTATTCAAAAAGTATTTAATGATTCAAAAAAAAAATTAATTAAAATAATTTAGTTATTTCTGAGAATTAAAAAAATAAATATATTTGAAGTTGTTTAGTTCTTTCTTTGTTAATATATTTTTCTGTGATTATTGGTTATAACAATAACATAATGTTTTTTATTCAGTTAATAACTAAGAAAGAAATTTATACAAAGTTCATGGAAAATAAAAGTTATATGAAATGATATTAATTTCCTTTAATTAATGAGGAAAGTGAAACATAAATAAGAGAAAGTTTATTATTTTATTTAACAAACAATTCTCATGTAAATTAATGAAGAGATAATTGAAAACAAATAATTATTGACTTAGACCTTTGAAAATGGGTTTGTGTTTATCGGTACGGAAAACCTTAATACCTTCAATAATGAAAATAATATTTATCAACCTTCATCTTTTAAATATTTTATATCTTAAAAGGCCGTTATAAGTACGGAAGTGTGTAATTATTTCAAAAATGCTTTATCTACTAATAATGGAAAAGTTATTTGAATGGAGAGTGAACAATGGTTAGATGTACCTCTTACACCAAATAATACTGTAAATGAACTTATTATTGTTGTTTCTGATAAACTTAGAAAAAAAGGAATAACTCTTACTAATGTCGTCTGTGAAAATAACCATTTCACAATTAAACAATTAATGGAGTCTGGTAGATTAGTTTGTCTTGAAGAAACAATAAAAAATGAAAGTAGACCAGAAACACCTTCTTCCTGTCAAACTGATAATACAAAAGAAATCAATGAACAAACTTCTCCTATTGGAAGTTGCCATTGTTGTAAAACAAGAAAAGAAATTTATTTCATTTGTGAAAAAAATAAATACCATAGAATATGTGAACGTTGTATGAGAAAATTCTCGGGTGTTGTTGTTTGTCCTATTTGCAACAATATTTGTACTTGTGCTACTTGCAAAAGAAATGCAAAAAAAGGAAGAGACTGTTAATTTTTATTTACATATTTTTATTTATTTTTTTAATTATTTTATTAAAACAAAACTAATATTAGTCATTATCAAACTCTTTTCTACATTAATTTTTAATCCTATTGCATTAAATATTTCTTTAGTTAATTTGTATGCTTTTTCCATTTCATCGAGGCTATTAGTTATTATCTTTAAATCGTCCATATATAATATATGTGGTTTAACTCGACTTGTTTTTCTTCTCCATTCATTTTAATATTTAATTTGCTTATTTGTTTATCTAATTGTTTAGATAATATAACAATAGATAATACAAATAAAAGTGGAGATAGGCTGTCACCTTGTATTATTCCTTTTTCTACATTTAATCATACCCACACTTTCTTGATTGTAATATAAATTAAGACATGTATTATTTAATATATATAATATATTATTAATTACTACTAGTGTGATATTAAAATATATTAAGCATTGTTTAATCCATTGATGGTTAATACTATTATATGCTTTGGATACGTCATAATATCTTTCTACCCACTTCCATTTAGCCTTTAATAATAATTGTTGGATTATAGTGTTATATAATAATCCTTCTTTTGATGATATGTATATTTTTTACATCCAATTTGATTTAATGAAAGTTGTTTTTCAATTGGATTTAACATCAATTGATTTTCTATTTTCATCTTTAATATTGATGGATATACTTTTAACAAACAATTTAAACAAGTTATTTGTCTGTATTTCTTTTTGTCTAGTTTATCTCATTTCTTATATATTAATATTGTTCTTCCTTGAATAAAATGAAGAGGTATTTCATTAGGATTATTTAACAATTCATTAAATAATTTTATTAAATATTTCATTGGTTGTTCTAAATATTTAATCCAAAATCCTTGTATTTTATCATTTTCAATTTACTTTCAATTATTAATGAATTTAATATCACAGTCTAGTTCATTTTGAGTGATTATTGACATTCTATTATTAATTCTATTTTCATTTAATATTTCATATAAATTAATATTCAGGAAATCTATAATAGTATTAATTTCATAGATTCCTTTCCAGAAATTAATAGTGGAGATATTATCTGGATATTCATCTCCTTTAGGCTTATTTAGATGTTGCCTTTTTCCATATTTCATCATTTTATAATTCCATCTTATTCTTTTCAAATTATTCTTTCTTATTTCTATTTCTATTATTTTCATCTTCTGTTTCTTGACTGCCTTGTTCTTCCTTCTTATTTTTACATCATTTATACTTTCTTTCTCCATTATTATGATACATAGTTTTATCACAATAATGTATATACCTATGGAAATATTGTTAAAAATGAGATAAAAATGAAAAAGATAAATGTATAAGTGCAATAACTCACATCATTATTATTTTAGTTATGACGACCATAGCTATTGTATATTTAACTTTGGCGATGGTATTGTTCTCTATTCATTTTTGTATCAATTATGATTTTTGATTCGTACAAATTTCATTTTTTTGTATTATATTTCGACTGTAGTTTACGTCTATATTTATATTACGTTACATAAGACATTTTATTGTGGTGTATAGTTTTTTGATATGACTCAAAGCAACATAAAAAGAAAGTAAAGAAAACACATTAACCAACAAAAATTAATCCAAAATACATTTCTTAAAAAGTCATCATAAACACATGTTTTATAAAACAAATTCTTCTAACTCTGTGGTGTCTTCTGAGCCACCAATTTTCATGACTATTGATTGCCTTTTAGTACTTTTTTTTTGAACTGAAGAAGCAGAAGGAATTTTTGATTCTTTTTTTAAATCTTTATTTAAGTCATTAATTTGAGATGGTCGTTGAGGGATTTTCATTGAATATCCTAATGCCATTTCAATATCTTTTTGTAATGCTATAATCAATTGTTCTACTTCACTTTTTGGAGTTTTTAAATTTTCAAGAACCATTTCCTCTTTTAATTTTCTTTTTGATTGTGGTTTTAATGTTTTAGATGATTGGTTTTCAGTAGTTGACACAATTGGAACTTGAGGAAGAGGGGGTTTAGTTGAAGTGTCTTGAGTTACATTTGGTGAAATAACATTTACATCAACAAGATAAGGATTAAAAATAAAATCAGATATATTAGAACAAAGTTCATTATATTCTTCATTTAAACTAATTCTAAATGTTTTAGCGAAGAATTGAACGTCCTCCTTTGGTTTTTGAAGAAGTCTTTTCATTATTAATTTTTTGATAACATCAGGAGATTCTTTTTTGATATGATTGTATCCTTTAAAATTTAATATTTCTTTTAATAAATTAGTTGAACCTTGTGACGTTCCAAACAATATTTCATAAATTGTTTTTAACTTCTCTTGAGATAATTTCTTTATTCTTTCTATTAATTTTTTATTTCTTCCCATTTGTATTATATTTTCTTCGTTATGTCTTTTATTAGGTTTTTTTTCATTAATTAACGATATTTCATCCGAGTTTATTCTATCTGCTAAAGACTTTCTTTTCAATGGATTAATGTTTTTACTCATTATAAAGTAAAATTTAATAATTAAAGTTGTATTATTTTTTATTTTAATAAAATTTTGAAGAAAAAAGAATAAAAAACAAATATACCAACTATCAAAATTCTAATCATTCCCAATTTTCATAACTTTTAGGTGCTTTAAAGTCTGAATATTTCGCTAAACTAAGTACTGTCTTAACATGTTCAACACTAATACCATACGCATCACAATGCCTACATTTTCTTCTGCCACATTTTGGACAAACAATAACTAGTTGATTTATATGAACTGCAAATAAATATTCACAAGAAACACAATAGAAGGGAAATTTATTTGGATCTTCCATTATTTTATCTAATTGTTTTGTATCAACGTCATGAATTTTATCTTCTAATAATGACTGTTCAGTATACAATGGACATTCACCTGAATGAAAATGTTCATATCCATCAATTTTTTTACCACAATTATAACAAAAATATGTACCACAAATACATGTTATTTTATTACATCCATAAGACTTAATAACTGGACATTTACAAACTGGACATTTCTTGATATTTTTTGTCATTAATTCACCTACTATTTCATCATAATATTGTTGTGATTTATATTTTTCTAAACAATTTGATGAATCATAACATTGTCCATTATGATTCTTTGTTAAACATTTACTACAAAAAGTTTTTTCACATCGAGGACATTGAATTGGTGTAGACTTTTTATAAACAATAGGATCTACCATAATTCCTGAATAAGAACAAAATGGACAAACAATAAAATCATCTCCTCCACTCTTTACATAAAGTAGAACAAGTTGATTTTCATATTTATCAATTAAATCTTTTGGACAACTTTTTTTCATTTCCCAAGGTAATATTTCTGCTTTACATTCAGCATATGGACATTCTACATAAGTACCATTTGTCAATGAAACTGCCACTGACTCTTTTAAACAATTATTACAAAGATAATGTCCACAAGAAGACAACACAATAAAATTGGAAGGAGGATATTCTTCATAACAAACATCACAAGTAATAAGTGGAGTAGAATAAAATACTTTTCTAGTTTCATCATAATTATATTGAAGAATATTTTTTTCTCTTTCTTCTCGTGAGATTGGGATTTCACTAAAACTTAATATGTCAAGTTGTTTTGGTGATAAGTTTGAAAGAAATTCATATAATAACATAAATAATCCTGAAAAATTAAATTGTTGAAATTCATCTTCAATTCTTGTTTTAATTTCTATCATATCTTTAATGGTTAACCAAAGACTATTCATTTGAAAAGATGGTTTTTCTTCATTATAACTAATAAGTATAGTAATCGGTGTTAAATATTTAATTTTAACTTCATTTTTATTCATATACATTCGTGGAACATTTCTAATTGGAATAATTTTAAATGGAATTTCATTTTCTAATGAAACAATAATATTCATTCTAAATTCATTTGGCTTAATATATGTAACAGAATTAGGATAAATGCTATTTATTGTGTTGTACTCTTCTAATACTTCATCAGAACAAATAATATCTTGAGATTCATTTTGTGACATCAAGAAGTTTTAGACTTTCTTTTTTAGTGAAACTTTTTTCTTGGAACTAATTTTATTCGTGAAGTTTGAGTTTTAACATTATTATAACAATTAACTTTTTTTAATTTTTAATAATTAGATTTTTAATTTAATGAATAACATAAATTTATCTATAACAAAAAAGGGTTTAATGTTTTATTAAAAAATATTATTATTCATGAGTGTTCTTTCTAAACACCCTCTAAATTCATTGAAAATTAATTCAAGACTAATTCAAACATGTGAAGATAAGTTACAAGTTAAAACATACTCACATGTTCAATATGCAGCTATTCCTGAAATATTACAAGAAAAAGATTGTCTTGTAAAAGCACAAACTGGAAGTGGTAAGACATTAGCCTATTTACTTCCTACAATAACTATGATTTTAAATAAACATCCAAAGTTAAAAAGAACTGATGGGTTATTTTGTTTAATATTAACACCAACAAGAGAATTAACTCAACAAGTATATGATGTTTTAACTATATTAACAACATCAATTATTGGATTGGTACCATCAATTGTAGTTGGAGGTGATAGTAAGAAAAGTGAAAAAGCAAGAATAAGAAAAGGAGTAAATATTTTAGTAGGAACACCAGGAAGACTATTAGATCATATTAATTCAACAAACAACTTAAAACTAGATAAAGTAGAATTTCTTATTATGGATGAAGCAGATAGAGTTCTTGATGCAGGATTTGAGAAGGATGTGATTGAGATTATAAATCATGTTAATAAAAATAGAACAAGTATTTTAGTAAGTGCCACTTTAACTGAAAGTGTAAAGAAATTATCTAATCTCGCACTTAAAAATCCCGTATTTATTGATGGAGATAAAAGAGAAAATGCAAAAGAAAGAAAAAAATTAAAATTAATTAAAGAAGAAGAAAATAATCAAGAAAAAACAGAAAAAATAATTAATGAAGATAAAATAGAAGATAAATTAATTTTACCTTCAACATTAAAACAATATGCAATGTTGATAACAGATAAGTATAGACTTGCTTATTTAATTGCATGTTTAAGAACATTTTTAAAAGAGTCTATTCAAAGAAAAATTATTGTATTTTTTTCATGTATTCAATCAGTTAATTATCATTATTCATTATTCTCTCAACTTCAATTTATGGATAAAACTCCTATTTTACCAGAAACTTCCCTTTTTAGATTACATGGTGATTTAACAACTGTAGAAAGACATGATGGTATGCAAAAATTTATTAAAAGTAAAAAAGCCGTATTATTTACAACTGACGTAGCTGCTAGAGGAATTGATTTAAAAGATATTGATTGGATTATTCAATATGATCCACCAGGAGAAACATCAGAATATATTCATCGAGTTGGAAGAACAGCGAGAATTGGAAGAAATGGAAATTCATTATTAATGTTATTAGAATCAGAAGGAGAATATGTAAATTTATTAAGAAATGAAGGTGTTATTATTGAAGAAATGAAACGAGATGAAGTAGTCAAATCTTTGAATATGGCAGGAGGAGATAAAAAAGTAATAAGTAGATTGCATGAGATGCAATTACAAGTCGAAAAGTTACTTATTGATAATGAAGAGTTAAAAGAAATGGCAATTAAATCATTCCAAGCTCATTTAAGATCATACACAACCCATCGTGGAGAGTTAAGAAAAATATTTTCAATTAAAAAATTACATATTGGTCATATTTGTAAAAGCTTTGGTATAAGAGATACTCCTACTTCTGTAATGTCTGTTATTAAAAAACAAGATGGCTTTTTAACAAAACCAAAAGAAAAGAAAAAAGAACTAAAAGAAGGGATGAGAAAAATGTCAGAATTCGATGCTGGAATCATTACAAAAAAGAAAAAAAAGAGGTAAAAGTATGACTAACAAGACATTACCTTAAAACCAAAAAAAAAATAAAATAAAATTGATTGATTTGTTCAATTAGTTATTCAAATAATGAAATATTTTAATATTTTGAAGTTGAAAAAAAACTTCTTTTTATTGTTTAATAACTTTTTATATATTTTTAAAAAAAAAGAAATAAAAACAAATAGAAAAGAAATTGAAACAATTTTATTTTAGAAGATTAGTTATTTTTAAAACTATCATGTTTTCAATTGCTAAAAATAAAAAATGCGAGAGATGTATTTTTAAAACAATAATCTAAAAATAAAGAATGAAGATAGTAAATAAATAATAAAAAAATTAAATAAATAATAAAAATAGGAGATTTATTTAAAGAAATTCTGGCGAAAAAACGAAGAGGCAAAAAAAGAATAAAAGTTTTAAAGACAATTAGAACTCTCTCTAACTTTAAAATTCAAATTGTTTTAATGTCAACAGTGAATGACAGTTTATGTACATCAGAAACAACAGATACCTGTGTAATATTTGAAGTTTCAAATACAATTAAAGAAATAGAAGAAACAAGTAATGGACCATATTCAAAAAATGGATGGGGGAATGATTCATCATCAACAATTGTTCAACCGATTAATCCAGAATTTATTGTATTTCCAGTAGATGAAGAATCAGAAAAAAAGATGTATGCAAATGAAGTTAATATTCAAATATTAAAAGAAATAGAAGCAACAATGAATAAACTTCAAAAAGCTAATAAAAAGAAAGATAAATTAGCACGTTTAACAGGAAGAAGAAATAGTTTAGAAAAAATATCACCATTTTTAGTTTCAGAAACTTCAGAAGAAGCAATTCGTAATGGAAATTTAGTTCTTAAAAGTGATCATATTAAACAAAAAATTGGTGAACGACCAGATCCAATAATTCTCTCTAAACATGTTGTTGATAATAAAAAATCATTTGATAAAAATGAATGGAAAACAAAAGAAAAAATTAATAAAATTTCTAAAATATTTGGACGACCTGATTCAATTAGAACAATTGCTCTTCTTCTTCAATCATCATCTCCAAATGAAGCTATTATTAATTCTATTAAATTAAAAAAAATGGAAAAATTAAAGAAACTTGCAGGTATTGAATAAATTGTATAGAAAACCTTTTATTTATCTTACAACATATTTACAAATTCACTTCTTTTTTATTTCTTCTTCTTCTTCTTTTTTTTTCATTAAATTCTCTTTTTTTTTTAAATTAAATTGAACTTAGAAATGTATTTTCTTTGATGGAATCAGAATTATTTGTTGAAAGTCATTCTAAACCAATCATAACTTATGACTCTATTACATGCTATAGTATTTTAATTAATTATATTGTTGGTACTGGTGTTTTTGGATTACCATTAGCTTTTAGAACAAGTGGATTATTATTAGCAATTTTAATGTCAATTACTTTCTTTGTACTTTGTTGTATTACAGCATTTTGGATGTTAGAATCATTAGCCCGTACATGTGGATTACATTCATTAACTTCAGAAGGTAGACCAATTACTCAAATAACAACAATACCATCAAGTGTAACAAAAATGGGAAATATATATTTTGGAGTAGTTGGGAAAAGAACAGTAATAAGTGTGTTAAGCTTTTTCTGTATTGGAGCACTTTGGGCATATTCATCAATATTTTCATCAACAACTACATTACTATTATGGAAATATATTTTTCCAAAATATGGAACATGTTCAGCAAATATTGGTATTTGGGGATGGTTTGATCATTGTCATATTACTTATATTTTTTCATTACTATTTTATTCAATGCTTGTTTTACCTATGTCATTCATGGAAATAGCAGAACAAGCATTTGTTCAAAAATTTTTAACAATGTATCGATTTGCTGCTATTTTTTTAATGATATTTACATCCTTTATTAGTTTATTATATCGATCACCTTCATATTCTGATGATGATATTATTGATCCACTTGCTTTATTTAATTTAAATGGGTTTGGAGCTGCATTTTCAGTTATTTCAGTATCACTTGCATGTCACCATAATATTCCAGAAAGTGTAGCACCATTACAAGATAAACGAAAATTAAAAAAATTAATATTTATTACATTATTATCAGCAACAATAATTTATATTACTCTTGGAGTCATTGGTGCACTTTGTTTTGGAAAGAAAACAGTATCACCAATAACAACAAATTGGTTAGAATATACTGGATGTGATGGTGGATTTGGAATATGTCAAGATCATAAAATAAGATGGTATGGATATGTTATTCAAATTACTATTCTTATGTTTCCATTAGTAAATCTAACATCAGAATATCCATTAGTAAGTGCTACATTAGCTTCAAATATTTCACAACTTTCATCTGAAAATACATCAAAAGTTTCTTTCAGTTCAAAATGTTTAGCTGCATTTCCACCTTTATTATTAGCAATGATTAAAGCTGATTTATCAAAAATATTTGGATTTACTGGAATATTTGGATTTGTATTAATTCTTATTCTACCTTCAATGTTCCAAATTTTCTCTAAAAAAACTTACAAACTTCAATTTGGTAAAAAAGCTTCAACAACAATTTATTCAGGAGTATATAGTACTTCTAAATTGGCTTGGTGTGTATTAATTATTTCTATTATTCTTTTTGCATTTTCTGTTGTTCAAAACCTTGACAGTTTATTCAATATTAATTGGTTAAATTAAAATTAAGAAATGTTACTTTAAACTCTTCCTTCTCATTTTATAATATCATTAAACCAATCAATTTCTTTTTAATTTATTTCTTTCTCTTTTTCATAATAAATTTACTTAATTGAATATTACATTTTAATGAAAATTACTTTAATCTATACTTCATAATAAATAAAATTTATTATTCTTTTGATTTTTCTTTTCTTTCATTTTATTTCTTCTTTTAATTACTATCTATACAACATATATTTCATTTTATATCAATCGCTTTGTTTTTTTTTTCAATTATGTCAAGTAATTTAATTACCGATAATGTTTAATTGTAATTACTTGGTTTTAACTTATTTTTCTTTCTTTTAAATTAATTAAGTGATCTTAAATTATTAATTATTCCTTTACATGTTCTTAGTACTTCTCTTTTATTCTTCATTTGCACTACCTTCTTTTGAAGGTGAATTTGCTTCTAAAACTAGAAGTTATACTATTATGAAAAATGATTTGTATGATAATGTATTTGAAATACATACAAATGAAATACTTTATCAAATTATTATTCGAGAAAAAACAGTTGAATTAATAGATAGACATAATACTCTATTAGGAAAACTTCATATAAATAATCAAACTACAGACTTACTTGCAACTGATAAAAACTACTCTCTTTTTATATCTCAAAATCATATCACTATCAAAAAAATTAAATCTGGAACTATGTTATTTGATGCAGAACGAGTTCCAAGTCATTTTATTCATGACGTTTTTTGTCTTACTTTATTTTCTTTAATTGTTATTCTTCATATAATGGTTTGGAGACAAGGAGGTGCATTATTAATACCTGGTTCTGTAATTGTAAAAAATTTAAAACAGGAGTGAAAGGGTTAATAAATTTCTAATTCATAAAATTTTATTTATATTTTTTAGAGTAATTTTAAGAGACATAAAATGGAATTTTTCAAAGGAATTTGTTTAAGGGTTGTGAAAGAAAGAGAGTCTTTTCAAACTTTTTTTATTTAAAAAATAAGAAAGAACTTAAAAAATACAGAAGATGGTTAAAAATATTGGAGCCTTACTTCTTGGAGTTCTTGGAGGAATTGTAGCTGTAATAACTGTCATTCCTGGAATTATTTTCTTATGGAAAGTTATTATTAAGCCATTATTATTCCCAACTAACACTAAAAAATATAAAGGAGAAAAGACATATTGTATTGTTACTGGTGCTGCTGGAGGAATTGGAAAAGCTTTTGCTGAAAAGTTTGCTAAAGAAGGATTTAATTTAATTATTATGGATAGACTTGCAGAACCACTTGCTGAGTTAAAGAAAATGCTTGAAGAAAAATACAATGTAACTGTCGTTGATTATGTTGCTGATTTTATTGCTATGGATAAAAATAATGAATGGAATAAAGTAGAAGAGTTAATTGCTAATTATGATATTGGGGTATTAGTTAATAATGTTGGAATGTGTAATTATCTTCCAGGTAAATTTGGACAACTTGAATTAAAAGACATTAACAATATGATCTCTTTGAACATAAGAACTTTGTTAATGATGACTCATATTTGTATTCCAAAGATGGAAGGAAGAAAAGAAAAAGGTTTAATTGTGAACATGTCATCATCTACATCTGGATATCCACATCCATTAATTCAAGTTTATTCATCAACAAAAGCCTTTGTTAGACAATTCACTGACTCTATTTATGCTGAATATAAAGGTAAGATTGATGTTATTGCTTATACTCCATGGTATATTAAGACTGATATGACTAAAATTAGAGAAAATGCAATTTATGCATTAACACCATCTGATTTCGTTGATTATGCTTTTAGATATTTCGGTCAACAAAATCATATTAACCCATATTGGTTCCATTATTTAATGGACATTGGAACTTCTACTATTCCAGAAGCTATTTTCTCAAAGAGTGTTATCAAACAACAAACATTTGTTAGAAAGAGATTACAAATGAAACTTGAACAACAAATGGCTGAAGCTGCTTCAAAGAAAACTGAGTAAGAGTTTAATATTTTTCTTTTTTTGTTTAATTTTTTTTCTATCATTCAATATAAAATATTATTAAAAATAAAAAAAAGAATTGTAGAGATAAATAACTACAGAGTTAATATAAAAGATGTTCAGTTATAACAGCTATAACATCAACTATTAAAGATGGGTTTAGTGTTTGAATATATTGAACAACTTCAGGAATTTCCATCATTTTTCTTAACCTTTCAAGTTCAAAATAAGTTGTTATTGACATTGAACGTATTATTTGTAATGATTCATTAATTTCATTTTTATCAAATTTTTGAATATCATCTCTGTCAGGTAATTCTTCAAATGGATTAGTAAGTCCAATTTTTTGAATAATTTTTTGATAATTATTAAGTAGAATATTACTAAAGTCAATTTGATAACAAGTACTATCTAAAGGATTAATTTCATATGGTATATGAATTATTAATGGTCCTAAAATCATTGCAAAATTCTTTAATGTCATCATATGAATAGAACTGTATTTAACTAATCTATTAACTAATCCATATAATATACTTAATGATAATAAATGTTCTCTTGGTATTTTCTTTAATACTTCTACTGCAAAGTCAATCTCTTGAGATATACTTGATGATAATTGTTTAACCAAATTATAGTCTATTAATCCATCTGTATATTCTCTTATATATGTCTTTAATGTCCCTACAACATTATGAACATCACTTGCTCTTCTACGCATTTGAAATAGAAAAGAAGTATCACACATAACACACTTTTCAGCTTTTTTCTTAGTAAATTCAGTATCTCCAGAAACTCTAAAAATTCCTTCGACTAAATAACCATAAGTGTAAATCCACCAACACAGATTAAACACAACTTGAGGAATAACATTTTTTGGATTATTAACACTTATATCAGTTGGATAAACTACGATTTCGTAAATATAAATTAATAATCTAAAATTATTTAAACAAACTCTTTGGTAAAGAAAATGGATGGTTATTAAAACAAACAAATATACAACTTCCATTTAATGTTAATGCTCCTCTAATTGTTAAATTTTTTGATAATATTTTTCCAGTTTGACTTCTAAAAACAAGGTCTTCAATATCAATAATTTCTTTTGTATTTGTTTTTAAATATTTTTGAATAACCTCACTTAGAGTTAAATGTAATGGTTCCTAAATTCATAAGTATTAATATATAAGTATTAATCAATAGAAAAAAAAATAAACTTTAACAATAGTTACTACATGATAACTCAAACATTGAATGTCAAGAAGTAGTTCTGATTTTTGTTTTAAATCCATTGAAGCTAATAATTTTTGTTTTTTTTCTTCATTTTTTAATATATTTTTTAACTCTTTATCTGATAATACTCGAGGAGAATCTTCATCCATTGCAATTAATGATATATCTCTTCTTTCTTCACTTGAATTCTTTGATCTCCATGACATTCTTCTAGATTTATATCCTTCTTTTTCAAATAAAATTTGAGGACTATTACTTTTTATTTTAGGACTTACAACTGTTGATGGAACTTCATACAAACCTTCAGGAACAGTTTCAAATCCAAGACTTTCTCTTGAACTTAATCGAAAGCTTCTTCTAACTTTTATTTCATTTTCTTCAGTTTTTTTTTCTTGTTTTTCCATCTTTTTTCCATAAACACTACTTCTAGTTACTCTTTCTTTTGTTTTACATGAAATTTCTACTGAAAGACCATTTATTTTATTTGTATTATTAAATGTTTTTCCTTGAGTTTGTAGGTTGTTTTTTTTTTCTGAGATAAAATCAGTTGTGTCATCATTAAAAGAATTTTGTAATGATTCAATAGTAAGTTCCTGAACATTTAATTCAGGTGTTTGTGTCTTTTTCTTCGTTCCATCATAAAAATCTTTTTTACTAAATCTGAAGATTGATTTTTCAGACATTTTGTTATATTTTTAAGTTCTATAATTTTATAGTTTTTTTTCCCTTCATAACTTTATTTTTATGTTAAAAAGTTCCCTTAAATATCCCATATTTTATTTTCAATTTATAATAACAATTTTTTTGTAGTATTAATTTATTGGTATTTTTCTTTTTAAAAAAAAAGAAAGAAAAATAAATTTATTACATAAATCTTTTTTTCCAATAAATTATCGTTTTAAAGTTCAACTTTTATTGAACTATTTTCAGTTTTATTTAATTCAGTCATGTTTATTACAGTTTCATTAAGTTGTTTATCTTTAACTTTTTCATATAGTTCAGGATGAAGGAATTCAGTAATAGATTTAATAACTTCTGCTCTTTTAGTGAATTCATCTAATTCAATATCATCAATAGTATTAAATTCTAAAAATTCTTGTTGTTCATTTATTTTCTTTAAAAATTCTTCTTTCTTTTCTTTTTCAAGACTTTCATTTTCAATAACTTCTTTTTTTAATGCATATAAAGTTGATTCAAAGTTATTAATCATTTCACCAATTTGTTTAAATGATTCATCAATATCATCAAACCATTTTAATATTTCTTTTGATCGTTGATAATTTCTACTCATAAAACTAATTAATGGATGATATAATATAAAGAAATTAAATCTACTTGTTTCATTCTTAGCACATTCAAAAATATGTTCTTCCCATTCAACTTTTGGTGTTATTTTTGTTTTCTTTGTTTCATTATGATTTTCTGTTTCATTATTATTAATTTCTTCTTCTTTAATTTCAATGTTTTCTTCATTTATTTGTTCTTTACCATTTTCAATAATTTCTTCTTCAATTTCAATTTCTTCTTTAATACTTTCCTTTTCTGTTTTTGGTATATTTTCTGTTGAATTATTTTCTGTTTCATTTACTTCTTCTGTAACATTAATAACTTTATATTTCTTTTCAGTACAATTAGTCCATGCAGTGTATTTCATTTCACTTTTAGAAATATCAACTAATCCATATGAATTTAATTTAAATGTTAAACTAATATCAATTCCCCTTTCATTTAATGTTTGATTTAAATTAAATTGATTTCCAATACCTACCATATATGCAACTTTATCTTTACTTCCCATCATTGAATATGAAATTGTAAAA